GGCAGAGGGAGAAGCAGGCTCCCTGACGAGCAAGGAGCCCGATGTGGGACTCGATCCCAGGACGCTGGGATCATGACCTGAGCCGAAGGCAGCTGCTTAACCAACTGAGCCACCCAGGCGTCCCCCATTATATGTTTTTAAATAGCATGAACATTAGCAGTACAGTCCCAAACCAGCTTTTAGACCTACCTGGTCTTATCTGCTACAGATATGGGAAATTCTGGGCAAGAAAGCATCTCTTAAAATGACCTACGTTTGTTGAAAAATGATACTTCCTTCTTCTTTAGTAATCTTAATCTTATTGACTTATAGTTTAAAGGCTTCATTTAAACATTTCTGGTACATATGATATCTATGTCAAATCACTTTGTAATATTCCAATATTAGTATTTCTCATTGATTGAAACAAAAATTGCATGTTAGTATCAAAGAACAAAGTATTTTAAAACAATTTTCTCTCTGAAGTTTCTACCTTTGCCAACTCTGTGTCCTTATATAATATTCACTTAATCTTGGTGGATTGGATTGGATTGGATTGGTCCTTGCTCATTCATCTAAATGAATTGGAAAAAAAAACTATGTTGCGCATATGGATACTTTCAAATATTCAACGGAGTATTCTCAACACCTTTTCTTTTTTCTTTTCTTTTCTTTCTTTTTTTTTTAGATTTTATTTATTTATTTGACACAGAGAGATCACAAGTAGGCAGAGAGGCAGGCAGAGAGAGAGGGAAGCAGGCTCCCCACTGAGCAGAGAGCCAGAGGCAGGGTCTCAACACCTTTTCTTAATATTCACATTATATATAGTATTTTTTATAACAAAGGCTAGGTTTATATATCTTTTTTAAAGATACAGAATCACTAAGTGCATCGTTCCCACGTGTAAATTGGGACTGGTGACTTCAAAGAGACAAGCAGAGTTGTTGCATGTGGAATGGTGTTTTGAACTGGTGAACAACTCTTGATTAAGTTCCAAATAACAACTGAAACAGTAACTAGTTGCATTCCTGGCAAATTCAGCATGAATTAAAACTCTGCCAGGCACATGTTTACATGTAAAATGAAATTGGTTATAGATTCAGAAAAATACAAATAGACTTTTACCTACATAAGAAACATGAGGTTGGAGAGTAAAACACAAGTTAGAAAAGAGAACGATTACATTTTTTTGGTAAAAGGATTGCGTCTGGCATTTACTGGACACCACGCAGGCTCCTCCAATTCATTGTGACAACCCAAAATACGCTTAACAGGTTTCCAAAATGCTCCCTGCTCGGTAGACATCTATAAATAGTATTACTGAATCAGTAAAAAGATGCAAGTACTCTAAAAAAACTCTCCAGACCTATTTCCTCATAACTATTAGTTTCGTAGATATTATATGCAAAAAATGCATTTGATGCAGTGTAAAGGCTACTTTACCCAAGGACTGACCATCAACCCTAGTCATTATCTACTGATTCCTCCAAAAGCTTGCTGACTACAATCCCTGCTAATTTGGAAAGGGGGTCCTCAGCCAGAATATGGAAACAGGATGTGGTTTACAAGGTAAAGGTACTATAGCTGTCATATGATCAGAACTTGGTACTTTGGAAGTCTGCGGTTCTTAATTTGGTTGTGGTTGGCCCCCTCTACTCTTAGTAATCTTTAGGAAAAATTCTTTCTAGCTCTGCTCTATGAAAGAAACATGGTGCTCAAGGCAAGCTGAAATCTACCGGAAAAGCTGTGTCAGGGATGCTTGGTCAGCAACCTTCCCCCAGGAATCCTCTGGAGATCTGCTTTCTAATGCTAAAACCTTAGAGATGCTATGTTTTATTTTAGGAAAGGAAGACATGTCTTCACACCAGTAGACTCAAAATGGGTAGGATACAACATCTGGTAAGACACATTCCCTGCCCGCTACGGGCTTACTCTTTCAAACTTACCACTACTACCCCAATGTAGAAAGCAGATTCAGTAAGACATGGCAAGGCAAATGATGATTCCTAGTAACTGACAGAATTAGTTCTCCAAAATACAATCTAGAGAAGAGACAAGGTGGAAACACAGGCAAGGACTTTAGAAATGATAAACACTGAGCATTCTGGGATTGTGTGATAATCGTTGGCTAAATCACACAAGTACAGGAGTTCTCAACCTTACGCTATTGATATTTTGGGCAGTTTTTTTTTTTTTTTTTTTTTTTAAAGTAGGCTCTACACTGGGCTTCAATGTGGGACTTGAACTCACAACCCTGAGATCAAGACCTGAGCTGAGATCGATCAAACATCAGATATGCAACCCACTGGGCCACTCAGATGCACAGAAGTCTTCATTGTGGGAGGAGGCCCTGTGTATTTGTAGGATGTTTACCAGCAACCCATCTGCCCGTTAGATGCCATTAGTGGGCCCCTCTCGTAACTGTAACACCAAAAATGTCTCCAAATATTGGAAAGTGTCCTCTGGAGTCCCCATACTGCCCCCTGTTGAGAATCACTGCACTAGTGCTTCTCAGACTTTTGAATACAAATCACCTGAGGGTCTTGCTAAATGCTGCTTTAATAAGTCTGGGAATAGGGCCTGGCACTTTCTAGTCCAAACAAGATCCCAGATGAAGCCGAGGCTGCCCATGCAAGGACAATACTTGCTTCTTAGAAGACAAACCTACAGCTTTCTACCAGTTGATATGTCCAGGTTCCGAGGGCAGAGTACACTCAAGGTACAGATTCCTGAAAATACTCTAAGCAAGGTCTGCGTACCGTATTAAGTTACTGTGCAATTAGTTAAGAATGAATATAAATAAGTGAATGGGGTTTTTTTGTCTTTGTTTTTCTAAACTTCAAAGTGCTTTATCTCCTATTTCAGCAGTTCTCCAACATTTTATCTTGGGATTTCTTATAGCATTCTTAAAGATAATCGAGAACTACGAGAGCTTTTGCTAACATGAGTAATATCTATTAGAAACATGAGAAATTAATTGAGACAGAAAAATTTTAAAACTGTTTGGAATTCATTTAAACATAACAGACCCACTGCACATTAATATAACTATTTTTGTGAAAAATTGCGGCACATTCCCAAGCAAAAAATTATGGAGGAAAATAGCATTATTGCACATTTTTTTGCAAATGTCTAAGATCTGGCTTTATAGAAGACAGCTGGATCCTCCTATTGGCTTCTGCTTTCAGTCTGTTGTGATACATTGTTTTGATTGAAATACATGAAGAAAATCTGGCCTCACAGGATTTTGTTGTTGGAAAAGGAAGCATTTTAATAGTCATTTCAGATAATATGGACTTTTTCCTGACACTACAGCATAACTTAACAAGCAGTAGTTTCTTAAAGATTAGTTGGAATGAGAAATCTGAAGCCCTATCAATGAGCTTTTAGTACTGTTACACTAAAAGTTATCGGTTTATCTTGCAGTTTGCATTGATCTTACCCACCCATGATTTTGTAACACGATGCACTGATCAAGTGGAGAATGTTGGTTCACTAAGTTATACAGCCCTTCCAAATGCACAGAGGGAAACTCCATTATATTTTCCTGAGTGAATAAGAGTAAAGAAAAATGTCTTAGGGGCGCCTGGGTGGCTCAGTGGGTTAAGCCTCTGACAGGCTCAGGTCATGATCTCAGGGTCCTGGGATTGAGTCCCACATCGGGCTCTCTGCTCAGCAGGGAGCCTGCTTCCCCCTCCTCTCTGCCTACTTGTGATCTCTCTCTGTCAAATAAATAAATAAAATCTTTTTTAAAAAAATAAAAGGAGAGGCTGGAATCTACTGGCTGGGCCACTGGGGCATCATTAACGTTGGTCTTGGCCCCAGTGAAGAGTCCTCACTTATGATCTGTGTCAAATAAATTAATAAAATATTTTTTTAAAAAAAGCAAAATATCTTACTACAATTATGAAAATAGTTCTGGCCTTCTGGAATCCCTAAACTGGGGTGGGGTAGCCACATCTACTTTGAGAACCAGTGACCTATGTCGGCTAAGGGTTTTGTTGCCAACCAATAGCTTCTATAAAACAAATAAAAGCCTAAGGAAAATAAGTAACTTATGCTTTTGCCTTCTAGCAATATAGCAGTGATAAAATTTTGGGTTACTCTCACCTCTCCTTCAAGGCAGGAACTGTGTTTTATTGATCCACAAATTCCAGATTTAGCTCACTCAGTGCCTGGCCCTTACAAACACTCCAGAAGTATTTTCTTTCCAAAGTATGCCATACAGCTGTGTAACCTGTCCTTTTCATTTAGCCTTGTAGTTGGTTGATTTCCCTACAATACGTATTCTTTAATAACTACATAATATAAAATTAAAGTTCTCGGGCTCAAACTCATTTTAAGAAAAACATGATTTTGCCTTAGTAAAGATTAATCTCATTTTGCGAGGGGGAAAAAAAAATGAAATGCCTAGGTTTGGAAGGCCGCTAAGGCAGAAGTTTGGGGAGCAAGGTCGCTCAGCCATAGACTCGCCACCCCTGGGATCTGACCACCTGCCGGCGCGGTGCGGAAGGGTGGGGTCCCGTGAGCACGATTCATGCCGCCTCAGGGGATTCCGCGCGGGATCCACGCAGGAAAGGGCTGGACAGCGTAGCTCTCGGCGACTGAGCGGCCTCTCGCACCGGGGGGACACCAGAACCCCAGATAGTTACTGTCAACAGTCCTCGGGAGAGCGAGCTTCGGGGGGCTGCCCAGAAAGACTGAGCATGCGTGGAACGCGCCGGGCGTCCCGTCCGCGGAGAGGTTAGAGGTCACGAGGAATGCCCCCACGCCGGCACTCCCGAGAAATCAGCTGTCACGCCGACTCCACAAGTCGAGGAGTGGCGCTGAGCACCCACGTGCTGCTTCCAGGAGTTATACTCCCGCTCCTCCCACGAAGTTCCCACGTTGCTTTTCTAAAGGGGACCCGCAGCAGTCGGGAAAATCCGGACAGACGGAACCCTCCGACTGAGGACCGACTTCCCTTCCCAGGCAGGAAGGGAGGGGGCGGGCGGAGCGGCGCGTCCCACGGGCTGCGCATGCGCCTCTCGCAAGCAGCCCCTGGAGTGGAATCCAGTTGCCGGATTCGCCGCCACGCCGGGAGTGCGCCTGCGCGGTCGCCGGGTCCCTCCACCTCCACTTCCCCTCCCCCTGTCCCCCCGCGGGGGCTCCGGGTCCGGCAGGACCATGTTCACCAGCACCGGCTCCAGTGGGCTTTGTGAGTACCGGCTGCCGCCATCCTGGCTGTTCCCTACGCGCGACCCTGGGCACCTCTTTGAGAAGCCTGGGGGCAGCGGGGACCTCGGGGTTGCAGGAGGTTTGGGGACCGACCCTCCATGCCCGCGCCGGAATCTTAGGGGTTCCTTCCCGTGAGGGCAGCGGACACTCCCCCACCTCAGCCTGTAGGGGCAAGTGCGGACTGAGTCCCGCCGTCAGCCCCGGCCCCCACCTATGAACCCCAGGTGCGATGCTCACGTGTTCCAGGGGCTGCTGCAGGCGGGCTGGACAGTTAGGGTCGGGCTGGGTGTCCCGGTGTTCTCCGGGCTCGACCCCTTGTGCTCAGCGGCGCGTGTGCCAGGCTGAAAGAAGGGGCTGTCCTGGTGGAGCAGATGCTGGAAGCCTGCCCCCTTCCCAGTCACCTTGCTCCATTTAGGCTACAGAGGGACCAAACTGGCTCTCCCCCAGATGCAAATTTCCAACCTCTGTCTCGGAAACTGACCCCTCAGGTTTCCTTAGATTTCTTTCTTCCTCCGTCTCCCTTAAGAGTTTTTAGACAAATACAAACTGATGAAAGTACATTAAAGTGGAAGGAAGTTAAGTCGTTTGGCAGGAAAGTGCGGACATTGCTGCTGGATGTTGCCGTCATCTTTCACTCGAATGTCAGTGGTGGTCAGCAGGTAGAGGGAAAAGAAGTATATCTAGCCTTTTAGACAATTTTATTTTTTTCCCTGAAATTTTTCAGTTGACTCTTGGTAAGGTGGCCTGTGTGTTAAGTAAACAGCAGTGAGATTCGGCACTGGGACAGCAACAGTGAACTGTTTTGAACAGGCATAATTTACAGTTGCTTGTCACTGTTAGTACTTCCTGTCTCTCCACATGAGAACTTAATCATGCCCAGGTATGGAAGCAGTTGACATTTCCAAATACTAAAGATCTACTGTTATTGTTAGAAGCCTTTTCCGAGAACACAGGTCTTAGACTGAGGGTGAGTATCAGAGACACAGGCATAATTTTAAATCTTCCTCACTCTCAGGTTTTGGAGTGGGTTGAATATTTATGATTTCCCTTGTTTCATAATTAATTCGATTCACTCATTGGCCTTAGAGTAGGTTACATCTACTGGCTAGTTAATTCCCCAGACTACCCTTTGCATAAAGAACATAGGACTGTTGGCACTGCTGGTCAAGAAGGTGGTGTGATTTTCTTGGGATCACGCAGTGACCCCTACACTGGTGGATATAAAATTAATGGTAGAATCTTCCATTTTAGTTATTTCAGCCATTTGAACTATCCTTCCCTCTGACCAAAATACATGAAAAAATTTAAAAGGTTACTCTACTGCATTACTAGGTTACTGGTTACTGTAGTAGTCATTGTGTTGGCAAAGTTTATTCTGCTTTAATACATGGTGATGCTGGGGAAGGTCATACTTGATCACCTAAGACACAGGGTTGATGAGTACTGAGTTCGAGGAACCAAACTCCTGCCCAGGGAGAGGCGTAGGCCAAGGCTTCTCCTCAGCCGTCTTGACCTGTTTCTGAAATAAGTGTATCCTCAGGGTAAGACTTGATGGGATGGCCATTCCTCAGAAGGCCATGTCTCATGCGCTCATTTAACAAACATTTTGAGCATCTGTTATGGGCTAGAAACTGCTAGTTGCTGGGATTTCAGTGTTGAACAAGTCTCGGTCCCTTGTGTTCCTTTAGTGGACGTTGGGCAGTTTTTCCAGGACTGGTCTTTGGCAAGACTGGGTGTGAGCAATCATCTGCTTTAAAATTTTTCCTGGCAAGGCTGTCCACCGAGAGGGAAGTGATTTTATTTAGCAAGTTGTGTGGCTCTTTGGTAAGTCAAAGTTCTGATTCTGAGTAAGTATCCTGGGAAGGATAATCCGCCTGCCCACGACCCTGTGGATGATGAGCGAACATTGTCTTTTCAAGGGAAAGAGTCCCTGCCATTTCCTACCACCTGCATATGTCCCTCATTATGTGACTGGTAGATAATGGTGTTTTAGTGTTATATTTGCCTTCCTCTCAGTTATTTATTCAACAGGTGTCTATTGGGTACCCATGTAGGCCCCACACTGTTTGTGTACAGAGGATGAGGAGGTAAACCGGGTAAAGGAAACCAGCGTCAAGTAATAAACAAAGTGATTTCCCATAGTGATGAGAGTCCTGAAGACAATACGAGCATAAGGGTATGGAGATTGAGGTTATGGGGGTGCCTGCTTCAGCAAGTGTGGTCAGGGAAGATATCTGGGAACATGACACTTGAGCTGAGACCCAGGTGATGTGAAGGACCCAGCCACATCAGAGTTTGTTGAAAAATGTACATTTTGTAGAAAGGGAACAGCAAGCACAAAGACTGAAACAGGCATAGCAGTGCATTTTCAAGGCACTGAAGAAAGCTGGGGCTGCCAGGGCATTAAATCACAGATAGGGTGTTTGTGACTATGTCTTTGAAACTGTATTGCTGTCTATCTAGTCATGTAATTATAGCTTGATAAAAGTGTATGGGAAACATATTCAGGACTTATTTTAGATTGCTTATAGACCAGTGCATCATTTAATTATGTGTTAAGTAATAGATGTATCATTTATTATACTTACTATAAGTTTTTCCCATTACTTAGTCACTTCACAGTATATTCACTCTGTAACAATAGACTTAACCAACATTAATTGTATGTCTAATGTATTCCAGGTTTAGTTCCCACCCTCAAGGAGTTCATTGTCTAGTGGGGAAATATTGTAAAAAAGAAGTGAAACAACTTGTCTGCGTGGTGCTGTGGGTTTATTGATGGGGTGTGGGCTGGTTAAGGGAGAGGCACAGTTGTTGGTGCAGGTGATATTTGAGCTGATTTTTGAGGGATAAGTAAGAGTTTGTCAGGCATGCAAGTGGGGAGAGGGCCTCAAAGAGCAACAGAGCCTGGGCAGGCCTGGAAAAGAGGCAGGAGGTGGTGAATTAGAGTATTGTTGGTAATGGCTGGACTGAGCAGTTTAAGAGGTGTGTGGTGAAATCATCTACCTGAAGAGGGAGAAGAGGAGGAGCTAGGGGAGAAGGTAGAGGAATGGCTGAGGTTCCTCCTCTTCAGGAACACAGATAGGAATGAATGATAGACCAAAGTCCAGAGAAACAGGAGGAGGTAATGATCTAGAGCACTAAGGAATGCTTTACGTTGCTGGGGGAAGGAAGCCGGGTGGGGGGGGGGGGGGGGGGGGGTGTTTTTGGGGGGGGGGGAAGCAGGGGTTTCAAAAGGCGCCCGAGGCCTAGCTAGAAAAAAAAAAAAAACAACAACTATGGAGCTTTCTGGATGTCCATATTCCCAGATCCCATCCCCAGACAGATTGAGAAGGGCTAATGTGGGCATCAGAAATCTGAATTTTTAAAGCATCCCCAGGAGATTCTAAGGGACAGAGAGATTTACATCAAAACAAGAGGGTGGCCAGCAGAAGGGGCAGAGTGAATAGAGTCCAGTGGGAGATGCTGAAGGCTCCAGCTAAGGTAGTAGCAGTGAGAATGAACAGGATAGAGAAGAAAGATTCTAAAGATGTGTGAGTAGGTAGGTTGTGTCCCTAAAACTTGTTGAGGGATGCCTGGGTGGCTCAGGCGGTAGAGCGCCTGCCTTCAGCTCAGGTCATGATCCCAGGCTCCTGGGATCGAGTCCCTTAGCAGGGAACCTGCTTCTCCCCCTCCCTCTGCTGTTCCCCCTGCTTATACTCTGCCAAATAAAAAAATAAATAAAAGCTTAGAAAAATAACCATAAATAAAACTTGTTGGATTTGAGGGATGAAGAAGGGTTGAAGGTGGCTCTGGATCGACAGATGGTGTTACCATTCATTAAGGTAGGGGAATGCAGAAAAGGGGGAGCTCGTTGTGGGGGAAAGACGAGTTCAGCAGTGGCCGCATTTAATGTGGAGGGCTGTGTAGTGTGCAGTTAGAGATACCAGGGGGGCATTTGGAGAGAGGGCGCTGAACTGGATGTGGGTGGTTAGGTGGGAGCTCTGCCCTGGATATGAGTGAGGGTGCTGGAAGCAGTGAGTGGAGTTAGGAGGCTGAGGACAGGCGCTCAGGCAAGTCTGGTAGCTGAGGGGTGGTAGGGAAGGAGGAGACCACAGAGTAGGCAGAGATGGGTATTTCCTTGGGAGAAACCTGTCTTATTCAATTAGATTTGCCCTCTTTTGTTGTAAATCAACTTTTGAGCTTCTCACCACGGTGGCTCTGGTCGCCACAGTGTCCATTCCCCCTGTCTCCAGTTTATAACCCATTTCTGGCATCTTCCATGTCAAGTCGGGAGCCCATAGCTAATTACTGGAGTTACAGTCTCATCTAGACTCTCAGAACCTTGTTCTGCTGTCCTGCTACAGTCATCTGACGAAGCCCCAAGCTGGTGTTCATGTGTGACACCTGATCTGAGTCCTTGGATTCCATCATCTCCCGGAGCTCCTCCCCTGCCATCCCCATCCTCAAGACTGTTCCTGGTCTCTACCCATCTCACTCTTCCTGCACACCCCCAGTAAGGGCTGTCACTTGTTTATAGCCACATTTTTACCGTTGTCAGTGACTTCCCATTATAGGTGATAGTTGAGCTGAGTTTTGAAGGATGATAAGAGTTGGTCGGGCATACAAACTCGGTTCCTTTCTCTTTCCCCAAGCGAAAAGAGTGAGGCACTCTTCTAGCTGAAGCCCACCCTCCATCTCTTCTTAACTTACTCTCTGCTGCCTTTTGTGACACCACTCTCTTCTTCATCCTCTCCTCCGAGAGGGTGAGCCTGGCACGTGGTTAAGTCTGGAGCTTTCTCCGGTTGATGCCGTAGTGGGCCTTTCAGAGACTCTCAGAGTACTTCAGATCCCTCACCTGTGGAAAGGAGAGAATATGATGTATTTTGTTGAGTTCTTGTGAAGATTAAGATTTAGCGCGTGTAGAGCTCCTAGACTGGGGTTAGCTGTTTTCAGCTGGGTCCTTCTACTGTGTTCTCAAGAATATGAAAGCATAGCCCC